TGCAGTCCAGGACATGGTTGGCTTTCTGGGCTGTCAGTGTGCATTGCTGACATCAACCAACATTCCCAAGTCCTTCTTGGCAGGGCTCTTCTCAATACATTCTCTGCCCAGTCTGTATTTGTACTTGCCCCAAAATGTTTGCCCCAAAATGGGTAAAAACTTTGCACTTCGTCTTGTTGAACTACACAAGGTTTGCATGGGACCACCTTTCAAGCCTGTCAAGATCCCTCTGGACGACATCCCTTCCGTCCAGAGGCTGGACTGCTCCACAAAACAAGTTTCTGTTTCAAGGTAAACCTATTGAAGGTGCAGTGTCCATGTTGCCAGCAAAGTTCAAATACCAGTTCAAATACCAAATCCTGTGAAACAGGAACACCACTTGTCATTGTTCTTCAGTTGGACATCGAGCCATTGGCAGCAACACCTTGAGTGTGGTTATCCAGCCAATTCCACTAGCCCATCCCTGAAATAAATTTTTCTCCATTTTAGAGACAAGGATATTTTGTGAGACAGTGTCAAATGCTTTTCACAAGTCCAGGCAGATGGTGTCAGTTGCTTTTCCCCTTTTCCACCAGTGCTATAATCCTCTTGTAGAAGGCCCATGAGTTTCCCAAGTTTCCCAATTTGTTTGGGAAGCTGTTTTGACTGTCACTAAGTACATCCTTATTTTCCATGTAGCATGCTGTTCAGGAGGCTCTGCTCCATGATCTTACCCAAAGTGGCCTGTAGTTCTCTTGGTCTTTCTAGTTTCTCTTTTAAAAATAGGGATTTTTTCCTTTTTTTGCAATCAGGGTGTACCTTGCTGATCTCCCAAACACGATGGACAGTGACTTAACCACTTCACCTGCCAGTTCCCTCTGGGCTCATGGATTCTTCTCATCAGATTCCATGGACCTGTGCATTTTGAGGTTCCTTAGATGGTCTCAAACTCAATCTTCTGCTAAAGTGGGTTGTTGTCCATTCTCCCAGGCCCTGCCTTTGCCTTCTTCAACTCAAGCTGTGTGACTGTCTCTCAGTTTTCAGAATTATGTTGTTCAGTTCACAGAGTGTCTCCTGACAGTTTTGCCTCCTAGGCTTGTGCAAAGTCTTCTGAAATCTTGCTATGAAGTTGAAGTTGCCATAACCACAATCATTATCCATCTGTATCCATACAATTATTATTTGCACTATTGAATTCTCTGGAGATAAAATTAAAGTACAGCTTTTGTAATTTCTTTTCTATCTCAAGCTTTTGTTTTTGTTTCCCACCATCTCTTTAACAATCCTGTTTCCCAGGAGAAAGCTTGATATGTCCTCATGCTTCCAGGAGACAGTAGTTCAAAAGGTTAATAGGCAGGTGGCAATTTCCAGATGTTTATATGCTTGTCCAAAAAAGATGTCCACTGGTAGCAAATGAACAGCTGGAAAGACACAATGCAAACACTGCATTCCTTAGCTGATTGACATATGTCTAGAATGCATGAGAAAAATGGAATTGAAATTAGGAACAGTTTGGACCAAGCCCTTCATTATCAATTAGTTAATTAGAATTTGTGTTCAAATTCTGATATAATTCACAAACACTGTACTGACTGAGTCATTACCACCCATAGAAGTAGAGGATAGAAATAATGCACTGCTTTCACACCATCTTTACTTAAGAGATATGTTGAGAAATGTTCATTACACTGCTGAACATGGGCAATTCAAGGGGGATGGATGGTGAAAATGTTTTGTAATGGAATATGAAGCCTTCAAACCAGAAGTCATGTTCACACCCAGACCAAACAGCTGATGGAAAGTGAGCAATTAAGTTGAGATACTTAGGAGTTTACTATGAAAATTCTTTTTTTTTTTTTTTTTTTTTTTTTTCCCAGTGAAATAAGTGGTTCTGTACACACGCACAAGGTTCACCAGGGAATATTGATTGTTCTAAAATTTTGTTCCATCTGGGAAATGAAATGAAGAAAAAAAAATCATATGAAAACAAGCCACTTTTCTTTTTTCTCTCTCATTTTCTTTTCTCTGAAAAAAAAAACCCAACATAACTGCTCCATATGACATTCTTTCAAGACTCAGTTGTTTAGGATGCTGTATTCCATAGTGTTAATCTGAGTGTCTAGTGTTGTGTTTTCTAAGCAACATTCTCCAGGAAGGAAGAGGCCTTTGGAGGGGTCATATGGAGGAACATTGAAAGAGGTAGCCTGGGAAAAGTAACACCTGAAAGAGGTTCTCATTCCTTTAAACATCACAGTACAAAGTAGCAATCAATTTTGGTTTCAGGGAGGCAGGCAGGATGGTGCAAGAAGGAGTATTTCCTTTCATCATAAGGCGAAAGAAATTCTTGCAGGATGGAATAATAGATAAGTATTGTTTTATAAAAGTTCTCGTGGTTTTGAAAAAATTTATTGTTTTAGCTGATGGCTAATGCTGCATATGTGCTTTACAGAGCAATCTTGTGCTAAGGGAAGGGAAGACAAAAAATCCCCATGAGCTGTCCTTTTCAAGTTCAGGTTTAAGGCCTGCTATGAACATTAATCTCTACTTTATTTCATTTGGCCACTGCTGGGATGGAACTTCTTACCATCTCTAAGAAACCAAGCCTTACTTAAAAAAAACAAGATATTATTTTTCATAGATATGTTACTTTTTACTCAACAAGTGTGGGATAGATTGTCATTGGTGTGCATGATATATGAATGAAAAGGGAAAAAGAAACACTTCCACAGAGCGTATATTTTGTCTCTTGGAAAACAGGAGGTCTTTTTTTTTTTTTTTTTTTTTTTTGTCTGATCATATGAGAGAGTAGATTTCTTTTCAATTTCAAAGTCTTTTAGCTCATAACGGTGTGTTTGGTATACCAGTGATTGGGTGCATTCTGAGTACTGTTTTGGGGAGTTTGGTACTTCTACCACTTTTGAGAGCAGGTTTGGAGAGAACTTAGTGGAGGTTTCTCCCTGGTGAGGACTTGCCTCCACACACATGGTGGGTTTTGGGTGGAAAATACCCACCTTCAGAGAAGAGTTGTCTTCTGCTTACTCAGCCTGAATTACAGTCATGGTACTATAGGAGTAGGACATTGTTACCCTGAACTGTCATCGTGGCAATCACAATGAGGAGAAAAATATAGCTATCATTATGAGAGCTTTACACTGCATAGTTTATCTCTATAACAGTGTGCTATGATGTGCCTAATTAGACTGTATCAGCTGCTCCATGTCTGCTGCTAAAGGGAGACTTTCTTATTGTATCTAGTAAACAGAGAGCTCTCAGCCTGTGATTTAGCACTGAAATTAAATTTAAGCATAGTTTCCCATTTGATTATCAGGCTATGGGTGACTTTTAAGGACCCTTTTCAATACATTATTTCTGCTAGCTGTAAACACTTTGCCACAGTTTCTTCCTCTTCTTTGGTGGATACAGACAAACTGAAAACTTATCATTTAAAGTTAGAGGTGAACAAATCAAAATAATTCCAAGTATGCAAACTTTTGATGATGCTCAGTCTCCTTTTTTGACTGTCACCTTCTGCATCTGAATCTCAGTTATTGAGACATAATAAATATTAATGGTTTGAATAAACAGAAAGTAAGAAGACCTCTAGAACGTAATACAGGATAAGAAATAGTGAAAAAATAGTTATTTTTCTTCTTTTTCATCCCATATCATAGCTTCATTGTGAGAGGAACACAGTGGCTTCCACAGGACAATCTTTGATAAAAAAAAGTAAATTTATAAAAAAAAATCCTATTTTCTTGCATGTGCTAATCCATTAAAAGTATGTAAAAGTGTGTATTTCTTCAGTAATACTCTCTAAGGAAATTATTTGGAAAAAACAGTGAACATTGCATGGACAAAATGCTCATAGTGGCAATCAAAGCTGAAAAGCAGTTTACAGTCTACTGTTTACTCACCTGTTATGTATTTTAAATATTCTTGGGGAGAGGGTGAGTGGGTCAAGATGAGGTTATGGGACCTGTTTGTTTCTTTGGTAGTCTCTCTATATTTGTGCTGCTCTTGAAAGATTTCTCAGTTTGAGGGACATGCTGCCTGAACCTTGAAAGATATGATACCTCCATTTCAAGGAGCTGGAGACATTCTGTAGTAATTTCAGAGAAAATGTCTTCTGCATAATAAGCATATTTTTTGCTGCAGGAACTGGCAGGTTTTCAGTATACTGCAGTAAGAAGAAATAATTTGATCACATCAGACACACAAATGGAGTAAGATATTGCAACATAATCCAGTTTTACCTGAAGGGAAGCATAGAGATGGGGAACAAAAACACAGCAGGGTTCTACTTTGACAGGGCTTTAGGCTTTGTAGTTGATAAGTTAATCTTTGGAAGAATCAAAGATGTAACCCATTGGTGTATCTGTGAAGTTCAAGTGATCTGTGGGTCAGGGATGTTTTGGAGTGATTGTTTGGGCTTTGGCATGGTTGTGTTTATAACTGGAAGCCTGTGAGTCCTTGCAGCAGCCAGTGCAGGCAGGTGGATTTCTGGTGTGATGCAAAAAGAGCAATGAGTTTTTGGTGCAGGTAAGGCTAAACAATAGAAATTTTCCTCTGCAGTAGGAAGTTCCAAGTCCTTGTAACAATGCCCTTTGCTTAAAGTATCTGGTACAAAAGAAAGGAGTGAGACCTTCCAGCATACGGCAGCAAGGGGCTTGTTCCCAGTGCTGCTGCTGGAACAGGAGTGGGATCTCATGTCCCACCTTGCCATCATGGGGAACCTTTGAGATCCCTAGTCTTGTGCAGCCTTCTGTAGCTGACACTTAAGCATGTTTTGAAGGAAAATAAACACTCACAGGTGCACTGTTGCTCGCTTTCCACCAGGGTTCAGAGGAAGCTATGATAGCTTAATTTCTTGACTTTTACTACTGACAGACTAAGGAGAGAATTTTATGATTGATTTACTGGGAATGGGATGATGACAAGAAAGTGGTTTGTTCTATGTCTCAATTTCAGAAGGGTCTTCTCTGAAATAGTGTTGTTACCAAGGTTTTTTTTGTTCTTTGCAGGCTGTGCCTTCCTAACATACTGCGAAAGGGAGTCTGCTCTAAAGGCCCAGAGCGCACTGCATGAACAGAAGACACTGCCAGGGGTGAGTCCAGACTGATAACTTTTTTTTTTTTCTTTTATATCTAAAATGGGTTACATCTCAGATTTGGAAGCAGAAAGTCTCCGTTTGTTTGGATGATTGAATATTTGCATTGTGCTAATAAAACCAAGATACCAGCAACCCACCCAAATGGTTTCCATGCAGAAAACTAAGAACTTTTTGCCCTTACTGGGAGTCAGGAAAACAGAAATCAGCTGGTTATGGGCTAGATTCTACCAGCCTTACTCAGCTGAGTAACTGTTTTAGGATTCTGACCACTACAGTGAAATGTTAGAAGTCTTCACCAGGTTCTTCTTCTCACTAATTTTCTTCTCTGAAGCAAGGTTTGGCAGCAAGAAATCAAGAAACAGATCACATTATTGAGTTATCACAGAATGAAAACATATTCCTGATGACAAAGTGGTTTGACTCAGTTACTTTAGTATTCAAGCAGCTGTAGCAGATTGGAAAGGCGGTGAGACAAGGAGAAAAGAGAGAGAGAGGAAAGACGCACATGAGATAATGAGGAAAATTATTCACATGAGCAAGATCTAAGGTTCAGACAACACAAGCAGGACTAAAAATAGAATCAGCATTATGTGGGGAAGACCTGCCCTGCTGGGATGGGTTTCTAGTTAAGCAGTTACCCGGGCGAGGGAGAGACTATTTAGATTCAGCCAGAGTACGTGGATTGGGAACAGCCAAGTGCTCCTGCAGCTGGAATGGAGCTGGTTTCACAGCGACCGGGAGCCAGTGACCATGTAACTAAGAGTGGGCTTCTGAGGCTTCCAGGCTGCATCAAAACTGAGAGGAAATCTTTCCAAAAGTCTGTCTTTATTAGCTGGTGTTGAATGATTGATTGCTGTGTAGCTATAACCTATGTTTCCACCAGATCTATGACACTTCCCTTGCTCTGTGTTCTGAGGGAAGTGTTGATTCTGCTCTGCTTGTTTTCATCATCCTGGGTCTATTTACCTATCTCTAAGCCACCTTGCCAGTATGGAGATGCCCACGCACTTGCTCATCTACATCTATCTTTGCTTAAAAGGCCATACCTTATGCAAATATATACATACTTCATACTTCATTGCCTAAAAATATTTCTGTCAGCTGACAACTCCCTCTGAATTATTTTTTTCCTAGAAACTCCTTAGCAGCAGATTGAAAGTAACTTCAATCTTGGGGGGGATTTCAGTTTTTGTTCCTCCTCCCCCTTCCAATAGAGAAGCCTTGTGCTTCTCACTTTCCTGAATGATAAAACTGGATTAAAAATAAATAAATTAAAAAAAGAGGGAATATGTTGAATAGGGATGTTTCAGGTAAAATTTTAAGTGAAATGTGCTTGAAATAAAATACGTATTTATCTAAACTAGAGATGTGATGAATAAGGTGTTGTATATTTAAAAAAAGAATAATTGAAATTCCAGATTTTCCACTGAGACTTCTTGTTCTTCTCATTAGGAGGGAGATCATTCACTTGCTAATGGAACTATCTCTTCTCTATGAGTTTAAAATCTTATCCAATATCTTCAAGAACACAGTGGGTCAGTGAGACTGAGGACTCCGGTGTTGGAGAGGGAGGGCAAGTGATAATTTAGGACCTTTATTTTCCAAAGTTCTTTATATATTCACAGTTCTGAATCTTAATCTCTGTGTTAGAGACTTCAAATCACAAAAATCTTGAAGTCAAAACTGTTTTCTTGGACAATGGTAAAATTCAACCAGCTTTTGCGTTAGGACTACAGGAAAACAATTTCTTCCTTGGTTTGTGCAATTTCTGTTACATATATTCCACACTGGCCACACTGCCTCTAGAAGATTTTTTTTGCTGTTTCCTTACATTTTCAGGAGACACATCAGGATCTCATTGAGCTAGGAGCAGTGAATCCTCTGTCTAAAAGAGCAACCAGGTTTCTTAGAGCTCTGAACACTGATTTTCCCATCTCTTTCATTTCCAGTTCTATTTGTCTCAGGATAAAGGTTTACTTTCCACCAGCAAATCCTCTTCATGCAGCTTTCTGCCAAGTTTCTGAACTCATCCTCTGAATGATGTCACTGTAGTTTATTTAAGGAAACCAGTCTTGTCTCTTGATAAAGTATCATGCCTGGATACTGTTTTATGGTTCCTATCTGAGTAGCAGAGAATTATTTATGACTTACCTGACTGTTCTTGATAACATGCACCAAAAATATCAACCATAGTTCATCACCATAAAATAAGAGGCACTTTTAAGGTCAGGGGTCTAAGTCCTTACTCACATAAGTTCAAAATGAGACATATATAACATCTTCTCTTGACACTCCACTGTCTGTGACACAAACAGCTCGACTGAGGAGGCATCAAAAACAATTAACAGGCATGGTATAGGAAAAAATAAATAGTACTAGACTAAGCCATTCTTTCCCATTCCCCAGTAAACTGTACACTTTCTTGCTCTTGCAATGTTGCTGTTTGTATTCTTTGTATTATAAAACACAGAACTGAGTAATTTTTAATTATATGCACATGAATGGTAATGTATGGAAATGGTGAGGCATCAGGAGGTTTTGTCCAGATTCAGATGCCTTGCCTCTTAGCTGTGTATCACTTTGTTTTTAGTGGAGTGGCTACATGCACATATTTTACAGTAATTACTTTCTGGATGTGCTTTGTACGATGACAGAAATATGTTTCATATATTTCTGTGTTATATGTAGGACATAAACTCATCTTGTGGAATAATCACAAGACTTCCAAGCAGGTATGTGTTGATTAATAAAGTCTTTATGGCACTTTGTTTTTGGGTGGGAAGGAAACATGATACATATTTTGAAGCAACTGGAATGGAATATAAAACATAAGGCTATCATTTGGATCTTCTTCATTTGATTGAGTAAATTTCTTTTTGGAAGTTCTTTTGGAGAGTTTGAAATTGTTTTGCCTAAAATGGAAAGTCAATGTGGCACAGTGTGTATATATGTGTAAAGAGCACTTTGTGATTGTCGGACAATTCAAATTCAAGTGTTTACTTGTGATTGTTTATTTTACATATAATAGAGTGGCTGGATGATGAAGTATATTAGTTCTTTAATAATTTATAGAAATGCTTTGATGTTGCAGTAATTACATTAAAGGTCACATATCAAAGGTAATTTGGTTGAGCAGCTGTGATGGTTTCTCAGAAGCAATCAATATTGCTGTCCATGGCGCTGATTTCACCAAGGGGACTGCCAGATTAAAGGAGGCTTATTACCAGACAGACAGACACGGGGGAAATCAAGAACAGATTGGAGAGATGCACTATTCTTTTTCCTCACCTATAATTAACACTGTTCACCATAATCTGTGCTAATCCTTCATAGCTGGAAACCACCTTCTTTTTTTTTTTTTTTTTTTTTTTTTTTTTTTTTTTAAACTCGCATTATAAAAAGCGAATTAAGGCAAGGGAGAGTAATTTGGAGGAGCAGAAGAGAGAAATTAGAGAAAGTAGAAGTTGACTCACTCCTGGGACTTCTGATGCTGATATATTCCACAATGATAAAATGCAATATCAAACCACAGGCCATGGTTCTGAGGAAAGCAAGGCTAGGGGGGTAAAATGATCTAGACAATGACAGTGCAACGTATGGCAGAATTATATCTGCCTGCAGATTTTGTATAATATTATCTATTTGCCCCACAAAGCTCCACAGGAAATGAAATCGGGGAAATAAAATTATGTTTTAAGTGTAGTCATTTTGATTACAAATTATAGTGAAGCGAACTTTTTCTCCCCTTTCTTTTTTCTTTCTCAAGTGAATGGCAGAGGATAATGCTGAGAAATGTAATTACGCTATCAAGATCTACTTTTATTTATAGCACAAATAAACTGAGCTCTTGTATGATAAGCACAGCAGCATTTTTCTTCCCCTAGTTCTTTGTGGCTCTCTCAGGCAACAGGAGAGAACAGTCCATGTATACTTGGTTGGAGGCACTGTCTCTTTGCATAATGTTAAAACCTTCCTGTAAGACTTGCAAAGAATAACTATGAAATTAAGTATGTACGAAACTGTTAACCTCAGCAATCTGTAGAGCTTGTTCAGCCTGGGAAATAGGCTGGGTTTTCTTACTGTATCTATTCCTCTTGAAAGAGACAGTGGTAGTACTGGTATGCTAAATTTCTCAGTGCGAAACATAATTAGTTTTCTCCCTAACTGTTCTGATATTCTTTGTCTCTTCTTGCCATCTAGAAAAAAATGCATTCTGTTTTATTCATCATATGCAAAAATATGCATCTTTAACATTAGAAGACAGGTGAGCTCATAAAACTCATATTAAACCCATTTTTTAAAGAAACAAAAACCCTCCATCTAATTTCAGTTGCCCAGAGTTTGGGTGGGTTCTTTTTGTTTGTTTTTGTTTTGTTGGGTTTTTATTTGCTTGTTTTGTTTTGTTTTGTTGGGGGGTTTTGTTTGTTTGGCTGTTTGTTTCTTTTAATAAGAAAGGTTTTCCAATATTACAGGTCTTACCTGACTTAAATTTTTATGTATATGTGAGGAAAGACACCTGAACAGAGGGGAGAGGAGTTTTGTTGAGGGTTTTTGTTTGGTTGTTTGTTTCTTTTAATAAAAAAGGTTTTTCCAACATTGCTGGTCTTACCTGATTTAAATTTTTATGTATATGTGAGGAAAAACACCTGAACAGAGAGGAGAGGGGGGAGGGTACCTTGCAAGGTCTGGCCTCTCTTAAATCCATGTCATAAGGCTTAAATGAGACATAAGTGTCATGTGAAGTCCTGCACCTATAGCATGGATTTCTCTGTTTAAGCAGGCCTTGAAATTTTACTCTCTTATTGTCTTTTTTTTTTTAAATGTTTCAAAGCTTTTTCCAAAAGCTTGTGAGAAAACCATTAAACCACATATCACCCTGCATGCTGTGTTGTGCCAAAAATGGTATTATATTCCCACAACTTCCCATTTCAAAAGTTTTTCTCTACTGATGTAAATTGCAATTTGGTCAGCAGTGGTAGGCTGGATGGGTTCTA